GGGGGGGGGGGGGGGGGGGGGGGGGGGGGGGGGGGGGTCTTCGACCTGAAAAATCAGGGGTTAGGATTTGCACCCGGTCGAAAGAAACCTTGCTATCGCAAGAGTAACTCCAGCTAGCTTCGCTAGCTTTCGCGATAACCTCAACACCATGCTCTAGTTGTCCCCCTCAAAGATATCGGTCTCTCCTCTCCCTCGGCCTTGGCCGCCGCTTTCCGCTTTGGCGAGGCCCGGGGCGGCTTCTTCGCGTGGCCCTTCTCCTCCTCGCGTGGAGTATGGCCCGTCCGTTCCAGCGAGCGGGGCAGGGTGAAGTCGGGCTCATCGGGCACCGCGGGCAGGTCCTCCACGATTTGGTCGCACGCGCAAGTCTCTGCTCCAATATGTAACGTATGTATGTCGCTATGTGTGTGTGTGTGTGCGTAATATATCATACACGACTTGTTTGCAGGTTTGGCGGGTCACAATCCTCCCCAAAGCCCATCAAATGTCCAACAACTGCAAAAAAATGCATTCTATGCTGGAATTGCGCGTCAGAGTCACGACCAACTGAATGCTTGGGGCAATTCCAACAAATGGCTAGCCTACATTAGCCTACTGTTTGATAGACACCGAAATGATCCTTCAAGTCCTGTGCAAAGGTATTTGTCTAGTTTTGGGGTAAGGCACTAGGTTTGGTGAGAGACTGCGACTCCTCACAAGCATCTTTCGCAAAACCTCAACAGCTGGACATACACTTGCCTGTTGACCATGCCCGAAGCAAATCCTCAACATGCCAACTCTCAGTCCTGGTTGAGGGACGCCCTTGCGACACGCCCTTCGGCCTCCAATGGAGACCCCGCCGTAGTGGACGCCAACTCGTCAGAGGCCGCGACGATGGAGGGCAGGCCCACACTGAAGAAACACCAGGAAGGGCTCAAACACACCTGACTGAAGCCTTCCAGGTGATCCAGCTTCGAGCCAGCACACCATCTCAACTGCTTTGTGGACAACAGCCGGTGCAGCTCGTGACACGGCAACCCGTGGCTGGGCGTCACGGTCACCGGGATCGCCGCGGAGTCCGCCAGCAACCGCACCTCCACCTGCCCCGGCGCAAAGGCCACGCCGGCCCCGCACAACTGGGCCGCGACGTCCTCCTGCAGCGCCCAGCGAAAGGCGGAGGCCAAGTCGCTCCGGGCCGCAAGCAGCGGCAGGTTGATGTTCTGCGCCAAGATCAGTAAGCTCACCGCGCCGCGCGGCAGATCGGGCGGAAGCTGCGGCCTGGCGAAGGAGATGGTTTGGGGCTTTGGGGAAGGCGAGGAAATGGTAGACGGTAAACCTAAAGACGATAAAATGAAAGAAAACAATCCACACAAACAAAGCGACAAAACAAGATAAATGAAGCACCTCCAGGTTTTGCTTGTGAACAAAACACATGAAAAGAACACACTGCCGCTTCACAGTCTTGGGTCCAGACTCAGCAGCGAGGTCCTGAGCACACGTCCAAAACGAACTTCAAAAACTAGGAAACAAAAAATGGAAAATCCACCTTCCCGGATCTTGTTTATTTTCGAGGAGCACGATTAACGATGTACCTCAGAAATATTGAGTGCATAAATCGAGGAGATAACGATGTTTCTTTGAGTCTTCAAGTCTTCGAACATGCGGTGCACATCGTGCACTCTGCCTCTGTGACGCCGAACATGTCAGCCGCTGCATCTCCACCTCAGGCGAATGATGTTTTTCTCCCGTCTCGTCACGTGAGAAAAGAATCATGGTTCACTCTTCTGTATCCCGATCCCTCGAATCTTCCGCATCCTCCCCATTCCAGGCAGCTTCTCTTTGGCGCTACCGTCGTGCCGTGCACAGGGAAGAGTGTGGCGGCCGCAGTTCGCAGCCCCCGTCTGCCGGTGCTAAAATCAAGAGTATGAACAATGGCATGGATGATCATCAGAGATTTGGGTTGTGTTGGCCACCTCATTAGCATCAAAAGAACATGAGGCAGATGGGATATCCCCTCCAAAGCAATTCCAACACCTTGCTACAATCAGTAGACCAGGCATGCAAACCATTTGAGCGTGACGATCATCCAAGCAGCTACAATCTCTGGGTTCGGCGGAAGTTCGTTAAGATCACTTTGCAGCTCCTTCTTCGCCAAAAATCATCTCTCGAGTTTTGGGCTGTTGGTGCATCGTTCCAACCCAGATCTCATCAATAAACCTCAGTGAAATACAAATACAAACTAACAGTATGCTAACGCTTCAAAAAGCCATACAAACACGCACGCGAAGTCAATGCTGCCAAAGTTCCACTGCAAATCTGCATCAACTCTCATTTCCTGCTTCAACAATGGGTATGTATATGATAGGGGGATAGGTCCAGGACAAGAACTCATTTCATGGAGCCGCAACCACCCATGATCAAACTAAACTATATAAACCAAAAAGAAAGAACCTCAATCATGAAACTTCACATCCCAATCTCCTCAATCATCCGTAGACCATTATCCATCGCTCGCAAAGTGGTCCTTCCAGACCGGCTGTCACACCCGAGACACTCAACCAAACCAAGGAAGGAGCAGGCTCCGGGATGACATGGAGTCTCAAGCCGCTCAAGCTCAAAAGCCCATTTCAGAAAGGTCCAGCTGAAGAACTGCCCAGCTTGCTTCAGTTCAAACCCCCCTCCTCAAGGTGCTCTTTCCACCCAAATTCTCCTCAATGCGCTGGTCCTTTCGGTCCTGCACTCTCCACACATGGGCGCGACGCGCACGGCGACCCGTCGACGCGCACGGCGGAGCGACGTCGCGGTGCGCGTCGCGGCCCAGTCCTTCACCGAGGCCCAGTCCTGGCGGATGCGAAATCGGGAGACGCAAAAGGGCGGAACATGGGCGTGTTCCGGCTTGCGGCATGGCTTGATGGCTTGATGCGGCTTCTGCGTTGTTATTGTTGGTTAAATGTCTCACATAAATGGAACGGTCGAAAGCACGGCGACTCCAGTGATCAAATGTTAAAGGAAGAAATCCCGCATTTCACAACACTGCCAACACTGCAACGCTGGGACGTGAGGCCAGCTCATTCATCAAGTATCTTCCTACCCGTTCTCAGGCACACGCCATTAGCCGCCCACGCCCTTCTCAAATGCACGCCGTCAGCCACGCCTGCTCTGGGATCTGTCGCAAGCAATCCGGCACAGCAGCCACCATGACAGACAGATTCTGCAAGCAGGTGAGTCTCACCTGAAGCCAAGGAGCAAGTGCATCGCTTCTAGTAACAAGTGCCTTACTAGTAGTAACAAGAAGCTACTAGGGGCTCCTGGCATCGCTACTAGAAACAAAGAACGCTAGTAGGAGCAAGTGCAAGGAGTGTCAATTCGCTGGGTCATCGAGTCCGACGTTGAACGCGAGATGTGACGGGGAACCTCGAAACCACGTCGCATCGGACAAAAACCGGATCGATCCGCTCATTTTGAAGGGAAACAGTCCACTTACTTGGTCCCACCGTTCCTGGCAGGGAAGAACACCAAGTACAACATGGCACAGCTCCAAATCGGGTCTCTCACTGCCCTGGACTCAGTTGGGTTAGGAAAGCGTGGGAGTGCTGATGCCTGGTGCTACGTTAAGACCGTTAAGAGCCCAAGAGCCCGCCACGTCTGGAGCCCCGGACCATTCGCTCCAGCGTCTTCGCGTTGATGCGCGGACCCCCCGAGTCACGGTACCTGGCTCCGTGGGACGGGTCGACCGAGCCGTCGCTCCGCGTAGCTCGCCACGTAGCTCCGCGGGTCGCACGCGTCCACGAAGGTCGTCATGAAGTGCTCAAAGTCGTCCTGTCCAAAGCGGCTTCGAGGTGTCAAATGGTGCCAATGCTTCGAAGCCACTGAGAGAGACCTATAAAGCCAGGCTCTGGTTGGACGTGACTCTCGTTTCTCGTCAGTCCTCATCCCTCGAAAGTTTCCCCAACTCCACATGATGTTTTAAAGTTCTACAGTCAGATACTCTCCGACCCAGCAACCCCCTGGCCCCTCACCCACTCCTACCCAAAGGTCTCCAAAACGCTCAGTGACTGGGCTCCGTGACTTCTGCATCTGTGCGCTCCTTCAGCATCTCGAACTCCGAGCAGTTGAAGTACCACCAGAGCTTATGGCCCAAGCAACTCGCTCCGAAACCGCCCCAATCCAGCACGCCACACAGCAGCTTGCCAGCCTGGCGCAGCTGCGGCAGACTGGCAACCCCGGAGTTAGTTAGCATTGGGACAAGAAAAACTATATATATATATACACGCGTCCAAAAATGTTCTCTGCTGCATGGAGTTCCGCACCAAACTTTGACTTCTGGGTCATTTCCAGCTCTCAAAGCAGCGTGTTTTGTATACATCTGAACACAATCACACAGTTGGTGTTTTCATTGTATCGAAAGCTTTGCTGAGCTATCAAACTGACTTTCTTTCATCCTCTTTCACACTTTCACACTTACTTGGTTCAGCTTCGACAGCGGAAACCGAGCTGGGGCTCAGCTTAGTTCAGCTGTGGCCTCGTCTCTCCAGTAGTAAGCATTGTCAACGTTCAAGTTGGCATGAGACAGTGCAACGTAGTCCGTGTCCTTTGAATGACTTTGCAGACAATGCCACATTTCCTCGAGTTTCAATAAGGTCAACGCTTCTCTTTTACTTGCACCTCTTCATTGGTTTGCCCGACAACTACAACACTTGACTTCGGCTTAGCAACTGCGTGGATTGGGGGCTCGCTGGTGAGTGCGGTCTGACCCGCCATCATGCAGATCCCACCCACTGACCCACCAGGTGGTCGGTTTCAGCTCCTGATTCTTCCAGCATTCGAGCTCGTTCATGTATGCATTATACGTCATCATCACCTCCATGAACTTGTCGATGAACCTGAGGCTGAGAGGCCGAACCGTTCCACACATCTGTCAAAGTGCTGGAAATATACTACACTTGGTTTTCTGGGACGGTCCGGGACCACCATAAAAAACAATATTGCAATTTCTCACAGAACCACAGAACAGCTAACCTCGCTGAACCCGCTCTCCTTGAGGTCCCCACTCAGAGTTCCGAGCGTAGGAAGGGAAGAACTGTGCTGCGGTGTCGGAGAAGAACTTGATGCCAATGCGGTTCTTCGAAAGGGCGGCCTCGAGCTGCGAAACTGCTCCGCCCGGCACTGTGAAACATGTTGCGCGCGCGTACATGGATATTCGAAGGCTGAGATGTTCACCCAAAAACCCGTGGTTGGGTTGTCTACGTTTCCCTGGTTTCGGTCTCCTAGGAGTTGTTTTGTAATTAGTAAGATTAGTAAGTATATATTTCCGCAAGGCTTCACTTCGAGAAAAGTGAGAAAATACGCCGAATGCTTGACTTTGACCCACCTGCTTCCACTTCAGCGCTACGCTTCTCTGCCTTTGAACCCAACGTTTCATCGAACTGTTTCCAAGTCCAATGTAGTTACATGATGTGTTTTCGGGGGCATTCTGGACGGATCGGGTTTCGAACCGTTGGAGGGAGCGATGCCCCCGCCTGGGGTGGACCACCAGAGGCTGCCAACGGGTTGCCTCCCCAGCCCTGAGCCGGTCCGCGGAACTGGGAACTCAGCACCGAGAGATCTCGTTGGGAGAATTGGGATTGGGATGGGAATTAGAATGGGAATGAGAATTGATCTCGTTTCAGGAGTTAGTGAATTGTTATATAATCTATACCTTTGAATCATCTGCTAGGGGAACAAGTTTGGGAACATGTTTTGCTTTTGGGGACCAGCTTTTTCTCCAACGTCCTTATTCCAGGGTCAGCCATCCAGGGTCAGCTGATCGGATCTGTCCCATCAGAAGCATCAGAACCGAACCATCGGTCGTCCCATCTGCCGGAGAAAGCTGCGCACCCTCAAGTCTCCAGGGGCAGCTCTGGAGAAGAAGTTGAAGTTCTGAGTCAGAAACTCCTTCTTTCGCAGAGGTCAAACAGCCACTTCCTTCTTCGCTTTGGTTTTGGGGATGCCATGTGATCTCCCATCAAGTCAAGGTGATCTCCCACTATCGGCCCAAATGGAAGGGCTTCTTTTTGTCGTGGGTTCTATTAGAAACACCGCTAACAACATCCGAAGACTCCAAATCCAAAGATCCGGTGCCCTGTGTCGTGTCATGCCTCAGGGGCCCTGCCGAAGTGGTAGTGGAGACACACCCCTTGACCATCCGCCCAACTCTCCTGCCATTGTTTCCTAGCAAAGTCCGCCGACCCCTGCTCTGGCGAAGGCAGGGGCGGCGCCTGGGACCACCGAAGGTGTGGAACCTGAGCTCTCCAAATCCTTACTTTTCTGGGCCCGAAAGCAAAAGCGCCAAAAGTTCGCACTTGCTAGACTGTGGGCTCTGGGCTCTGTGCCAGACTGTGGG